GAGAGAGAGAGAGAGAGAGAGAGAGAGAGAGAGAGATGAGAGAGAGAGAGAGAGAGAGAGAGAGAGAGATGAGAGAGTAATGTACAGGGAGAGTGAGTGAGCGCGAGCGTGAGTAAGTACGATAGTTTATACTACACAAGATAAACATGCGAACGCACTCCCGTCGCGCACGCAAAACCAGTGGCCCGGGGCAAAACGATGCATCTGTAGACCTAAATCGCCATGTATACAGTCGAGCAGTGCTCGGGGTTTATCGCCGCCAGATGGCGTCACCGTAGCCATTGTTTAGGGAGTATTCGTAGAGATCAAAAGTGCCAATCAAACACACGATATCAGCGTAACCTGGATGCGAAGTCGCGATTCGCAGAGAGGGAGGGCGATGAGCGGGCAGTGTGTGCTGAGCGTGTATGCTACTTTTAACTATGACGCAAGCGGTGCAGTAGCTCGAGTAGTGCAAAGATATGGGGCAAATATGGGCGCTAGAGAGCCCGTGGGTGTTGGGATGGGAGCAGAGGGAAGGGGAGAGAGGGTGGGTGGGAGCAGAGGGAAGGGGAGAGAAGGATGGGTGAGAGATGTAGGGGAAGGGGAGAGAAGGATGGGTGGGGGTGGGTGGGATACTCAGTAAATCGCTAGATGAATTTGTATTTGCGAGTAGTTTGATGTAGGCTCGTCAAATCATCCCTCGCATTCAGTTTTACCCGTAGTTGTCTACGTTATTTCGATGTAGAATAGTTTGTTAGTATTTATTAATTATTTATTCTAGCATTTATAAGCAGGAGAGCACATTTCTTTTCTGCGGTGTGGGGTCTGGTATCCAGACATGGAGCGAATTAGGTGATTTGCTCACTAAAATACTAGGGAGTAGCTCAAAATTTATGGCAACTACTCACTAGTGGCAAGCTGACGGACGGTTGTATGGCAAATCTAGTCAAATTTAATCTCAGCAATACAAAACACGTCAAAATTCATGTTAATCATGTCGAAGTCGAAAGTCGAGTAATCTCTCTAACCCGAAGGCAAATCATGTTTGAAAATTCATATCTATTACCATATATATATATATATATTGATATGTTGATATTTATATATATTGATGTTTATAAAAGTATAATAGCTGAGATGCTAGTAAACATGCAGTGCTGCCCTCTGTAGGCACACGCGCATGAACACGATCGCAAACACCGACGATTGTTGGCGGTGCGATTTTCTCGAACTTTTTTTACGAGCTGTAAAAGAATCGCGATCGACCCTGCGTGACTACTGAAGCGCGTGCGATAGGCAATTGTGGATGTTAGCGTATTCCACTTCGCTCCGAGAATCGGGGGAGAGACCCACGACGATTGATCGGTTTCCGAAGTTGTTCGTATTTAGTGCGTTTAGGAGCGTATTTCCAAAGTCTCCCCCTAATTATTGATCGATCGAGATTTGCGGATCGATGGGTCGTGCGTCGGGAGAGGACGAGATCAAGTTGTTAATAGTCGTTGCGATTCGTCGTTATCACTTCGTATATTGTGAACTGGTGTTTTTGTTTTTGTTCATATCGTCGGGTGTACACCAATACAACTTGCTGTTAGCGTGCTCCTGACGGTTTATAGATGTTATTGCATGGTTTGCCAGTTGCGTCGATACGTTTACATATACATATATACATGACTTTGTGCAATTTGTTTTTGTTGTCGCCACGAAGGCTTTCTTTTGACGAGCACGCTCTTTTGTTTTGCGCGTTTTTACGACGCGCAGTAATGTCGGCACGCGTCGCGCCTACTGCTAGCGCCATCTACGCCTGCCCTTCGCAGGCGAGTCGTTCAATTTCATGTTTATTTCCTAGTCTGTTTTACAATCGATGTTTTCTGTTGTTGAAATTTAGTCATCTGCGATTTCTTTGGAAATCGCACGGTATCACCAATCATACAGTGAAGATTCGACGTTTGTGATGATCCACACGGGTCATGATGGTGGTGACGTTAAACATATTTTACCTGGTGTTGGCAATGGCTGTTCCATTGTTTTGCTGTTCGGGCGATGAGCTCCGCGTGACTCGTCGCACCTGCGGGTCGTTTAGATAATCTATTAAAGCTTCGCTGATGCTCAACTCACTACGACAGTGCTGCGAATCGCAGCCGATGATCGTGGATGGGGACAGTCTAAGACGGCAGCAGCAGTGTCAGCCAGATATGCTGATACCTCGTTCGCATCTTCCCCGCGGATGCAACTCGCGATTCCTGACCGAAAATTTACACACCTTTGTTTTGCCCCACGTTTCGAAGACTTGGGGCAAATGTAACTAAAGGCATACTTACTTAATGCTCTTCACTCCTAAATGACTATATATAGGGCCTGAGCTAAAGGTCCCGACCGCTGCTGTTCTTGGGCTGTCATCATTGCTTCGAACGTGAGGGCACAAGTGCAATTTTAGGGTTTAGATGCAGACGATACGTCGTGCGTGTGACGCGCATGGGTTATCGATGTTCGATTATCTGCGTTTACACATATATATATATGTATATATATATATATGTAGAATTAATACGCTGCTGATGTATATTGAAAGTAAAATAAAACGTTGGATTCCAATGTAAATAGCCGATTTATTACATTATTTACCTACAACAATAACGCTGTTTTAATGTTCCCATACCGACACCACCATTCCCCGAAACATGACCACGATTACGACTCTTCCTCGCGCGCTGCGACATCAAAAATAGCGTAAAATAGCGTTGAAATTCTCCATTGCCGCGTCAGCGAAATTCCGAAACCTTCTCGAACTTTGCGATGAAGAAGCCGATGGTGTCGCCGTCGCAATCGTCGCCGCCCGTGCCCGGGTCGAACCTCTGCACCAGGTGGCGCTGCTCCTCGGTGAGCCCGACGCCGGGGAGGCCGGCGCCGGCGACGCGAGGCGTCTGCTCGCTCAGCCGCAGGCACGGCAGACGCTCGAGCG